GTTGCCCCCCCCCATTGTTTTATCACAAGAGGGTCATCTTCCTACCTTCACACAAAAAGAATTTGGATTCTCCCACGCTGATCTCTCCTTGGACTGGAGTGATTTCCACTTGCAAGGCAGCTGGAGAAGAGAGAGACAGAGAGATATCCATATTTCAGAAATAACCTACATGGATACGATACACAAATCAAACAAAGGAAATGAAAACTATGTCTTTGCAAAATCAACTAGTTAGTCGATTGGCTGAATGATTCATCAAAAATAATTTCTTTTAATGCCAGATATTTTTGGAGCAGTTTTCTATATCAGGTACGAATGGAATGAATAGATGTAAATTAGGGCTGGGCGATATGGCCAAAAAAATATATCATATCACGATAATTTTTTTCATATCAGTCAATATCGATAATTATCACGAGACTGGAGTGATTTCCACTTGCAAGGCAGCTGGAGAAGAGAGAGACAGAGAGATATCCATATTTCAGAAATAACCTACATGGATACGATACACAAATCAAACAAAGGAAATGAAAACTATGTCTTTGCAAAATCAACTAGTTAGTCGATTGGCTGAATGATTCATCAAAAATAATTTCTTATAATGCCAGATATTTTTGGAGCAGTTTTCTATATCAGGTACGAATGGAATGAATAGATGTAAATTAGGGCTGGGCGATATGGCCAAAAAAAAAATGATTGCAATACAGTTTGTGTGCAGTTCCGGAATAGAGATCAGCCAAAATAAAATTAAAAGCCGATTGTGTGCTTGGAGCAAAAACCGTCCGGTTCCGATTTATGGCCCGGTGCATCTCTCTCTCCGATGTCGCAGTAAAGACCGCAAGGAAAAAAAATCTTCGGCCTGTCCAATGACAGTCATTAGGTCCGTCAGACTGGATATATCACTTTTTGTCTCTTAGAAATGTACATTTGATAGTAGCTTGAGTTAGGATGCAGAGGTAAATTTTTATTCATTATCAAAATCAGTATTGTCTCTAAAAATTGTAGCAACCTGATTTTTATATGGTTACATTTATTCTGACCAAGTTTTTATTTATTTATTTATTTTTAAATTAAGCATCGGTCTCCCATAGTAACATACATTTAAATCATGATAAACACAGTTAAAACCACACATATAGCACCTCAATACCATGGTATAAAAATAACTATATGGTTTTTAGGTAACAGTTAGCCTATTTGTATGAAAAACAGTAGTCTAAAAACATTCAGTATAAATGCACACATGCTATAGCTTAATCACAAATACATACTACAATTATATAGGCCTACCATTACTCCTGTAATAAAATTCAGTGTGAATATCCCAAATTTCTACCACAATACCATGGTGCAGTGAGTGTTACTACAGTAAATCCATGGTAAATGATGGCGATTTGTAGATTGAAAAGCCTTCTGACTGTCTCGCTGCACACAGAGTTTCTCCTGTTTGGCTTTAAACTAGTTTAAATCACTGAGTCTTTGTGTTCATCGCTGAATTCAAGCACTTCACACTGGATCTCACAGCGCTGCTTAATGCTCGCATGACCGAGTAAACGCATCTGCTCTAAGTGAGCTCACGCCGCGTGGCAGTTTGAACTTTGATCCGAGTGGATAAACGGTCCGTGTGGTGCGATTCAAATAAATCGCGCTGTTTTGTTCCGCTTTTGGCGCATAAACATTATATCAAACATTTATCGAACTCTTCATATCGTTTTATCGAGGAAAATTACATAGCGATATTTATCGTTATCGAATTATCTACCATCTAAATGTATTACATTTTTCAAATGTCTGCAAAAAGCGAAAGAGTAACCTACAATATCTGGAAATATCTAGCTGATACAAAATTTTTGAGCAGAACGTTGAAAACAAAAATTGAAAAATATACACTACAATTTAAAAATGTATGGTTGTATGACTTTTTTTTTTTTTTTTGGAAAGAACTTATTTATGCTTATGCTACAATATCTGGAAATATCTAGCTGATACAACATTTTTGAGCAGAACGTTGAAAACAAAAATTGAAATACATTACAATTTAAAAATGTATGGTTGTATGACTTTTTTTTTTTTTGGAAATAACTTATTTATGCTTATGCAAGGCTCATTTATTTCACAGCGAAAACAGCAATACTGTGAAATATTATTATAATTTTAAAATACAATTTATTCCTGTGATAGCAAAGCTGAATTTTCAGTAGCCATTAGTGTCACATGATCCTTCAGAAATCATTTTAATATGCTGATTTGGTGTTAAAGAAACTTTTCTTCTTATTATTACTATTATGTTGAAAACAGTTGTGCTTCTTAAAAATTTTATGAAAACTGTAAGACATTATTTTTTAGGATTCTTTGATGAATATAAAGTGCAGCAGAACAGCATTTACTTGAAATATAAATGTTTTGTAACATTACAATTGTCTTGTCACTTTTGATTAATTTACTGTGTCCTTACTGAATAAAAGTATTAATTTATGTAATAATGGCCCCAAACTTTTGAACAGCAGTATATGTTCACTATGAAAAATTTCCTGACTTTTCCAGGCCTGGAGATCACAATTTTAAAATCCCCTGATATTTGGTCCATGTCTGTGGGAAACATCAACTACTGTAATTGGTTATCATCCATCATGACCCATTCTTAAATTATACCCATACACACTTGTAGATGCTCCTCCTACACATCCTAACCGAAACATTTCAGCAGAAAGCTTTTCTTTGTTATCTAATTACTAAGGTAGTTTACATAAAATCACAGTTTCTGTCTTGAAGCTAAAAGGAGAAGCATATGCTGTACATCCCCAGTGACTGGGCCTGCCAACCAATTAAAACTCACTCCTGGGAAGGATGTTGTCAGTGGGTGTACGAGGAGCACAAGGCCGTGGATTTTTGGACCTCAAGATAACAACACGTCAATAGCGCTGGCCCATTTCCAGTTCTGTTAATGTGGCAGGCGGAGATGAGTATTTACCGCAGTACAGAAACGACTGATCGGGGTGTTGGGGTGTACAAGAGCAATGTGCAGCAAACCGTAGCCATGGTAACCCCAAGTACTGTCACAAGCACTTATTGAAAAACCTCAGTGTTAGGCAGGCTGATTCTCGGACTAAATATGACAATTAGGGCTCGGCACTATCAGAAATATGGTGAATTATAGGCCTCTCGCAAACTTATTTTCCACCCACAATTACCTGGGGGTTCTGAACTACACTGATATTTCATAATGCTACCATAAGCTTCAATTTTCTAGTTTAATGGAAGGCACCTGATGGAGCTCTTTGAACATTTTCTTTCGTGTGCAGTTGGGGAGCGTAATGCTGTAAATGATAGCATATTAGTTTCCTGATATGAGGCTAATACATTTCATCTTCCTGCATCAACTGCGGTGAATGAGATGAGCCCAGGCAGCAAGCGGCTGTTAGCTCCACGAGCGATGGATACCATCACATCACAAGGAAAAGCGATGAAGGCAAACCGGTCTATCTAGGTGAAACTGTACCTGCAAAAAACAACATCTGATTCTTTTCTTGTCAAAAGAATCCCTGCAGGCAGTGTCATTGAGCTTGTCAATCATAAACACCATTATGTGTCAAGAAATTACAGGAATGTTTTGCTTCCTAATGTTTGTGACAAGAGAGGAACTGACCTAGAACCAATCCACATGAGACAGATCTACACACAGCAGCATTCTGCAGCCCAGAGCTCGTTTATACACACTGCAATCATGGGTAATTAGAACGCTTCATTCAGTAAGTCAGATTGACCCAAAGTGCTCAACATTTGATTTTTTTACCCTGTAAAAGTCCAGGAAGGCTTTTGAATTTACACTGTATGATACAACACTAAGAGAGTAGGAACTTCTAAACTTATATTTATATCAGTATACCCTGAACACGGACCTACAGCCCGGTACTTCATCATCAAGCTTCAAGATAGAGTGTCATGTGTGGTGGTGTGAGGAAGTACACACAAAAAAAGGTATTCGCTCTAGTATTTGCAGTCAACCAAAGAACATCCCTATTTGTTTGTGTCTGTATATGAAGTGCAACTGGAGATATTCGCTGACGTTAAAGTACTGTGGGAGGAAACAGTGGTTCAGTCTTGTTTCCTCAAAATGAATTTCCAGACAGCGCTCTTACATTTTCAGCACAAACTGAAAAAGGAAAAATATCTTCAAAACCAAATCAAGACTTATGTGTGCACATCCAGCCAACCAGCTATATTACTTGGTCCCTGAGCTTGAAAAGCCACTGTATATACTTAATCTGAGTAAAATATTGTAATCCAATATCCTGATCCATGTATTGTGTAAAAAAAATCAGCCTCAAAAAAAGGACAAAAAAAAAGAAAAAAAAAAAACACGGCAGAGAAAAGGCCAACATGTTAAATTTGCCTTTTGCCTACGACTTAAGTTGTTTGTTCACTGAAAGCATTTCCGCCTAAGAAATAGTCCAATTTCCACTCGAAAACACCAGAGTGCCTTGAACAACTGAACTGAATAAATAAATGCAGAGCTTGAGAAATCCAGTATGGCGATGATATTGTTATTTGAATTTTTTTGACTTGGTAATAAAGTCTTGAGACTGTATATTGAATGAAGCCAAATGTTTGGACTCCATGGTTAGTGAGCGTCAATACAGCAAAAGTACAGCACTGTGTCCTTGCTGAGAGCACAAGGGAGGCAAATGAACATGTAAAACACAACAGGATGGCAAATCGATAAGCCTAATTACAAAATAAATCCAAAACAGCTCAGCCTTATAGGTGGCAACTTGCTGTGCTGCCAGCATGTTCCTCTAGCATGCTTCATACGTTTTAACTCTTAATCTTCATTCCTACTGAACAGATAACTGCAGGCCACTTAGCAAATCAGCATATCATATGATGGATAGCATATAGTGCAATAACAATACAAATGCAAACGCACAAGCTTGAAAATGAGGAAAAGAGAGTTTATATGCTAAAACTGAGGAAACTGCCAGTGTTTTTCTCTGTCAAACCAAGGTTTGGCTAGTTAGCATAGCCTTGTCAAGCTACTGCCATTGAGATTAATGGGAATGCTAGTGAATTGCTTTTTATATGAGTCAAAACCAGAGAAATATAATACAATGAAAAAGCAG